GTAAGTGTAACGTGGCTGGCTTTTGGGGCGAATTACGGTGGTACTAAGGCATGCTGGCGTCATTACCACCAATCTCACCTCTATCTAGCAGGATTTGCAGCGTTGAATTTAAATTTAAAAAAACAGTTCTTTCCGTTTTAACGGATTGACATAATTACTTAAGCAACGAAAACTGACACTGAAGATGGCACAACGCCGAAACCGGTTTGTCTCCAAACCAAATTTGACAAGGGATGACGGAAAACCGTTCCACATTACATTAAGCAACAATACTTTAACTTTTTTTAATTTTTTTATTTTACTTTTGTCTTTCACACCGACTCGAGACTTCTCGAAACTAACGCACTTTTCTTTCTGATCAAAAAGAACTTTTCTTTGGCGATCGTACCCTGCAGCATTTGCCGCCCTTTGAAACCTCCTTTCACGATGCCACTTTCACTCAAAACGATAGACGATCGCACGCATACATAGATACTACACCACTTTCATCGCACTCATACTAATGTAAATGTATTCCTACGCTTAACACAAATATTCATAGTTCAGGCCGACCACGTACACATGTATGTGCATAAGCATCCTTATTGCTCTATATGCAGATACATGCATAGAGATTGTTTTGTTGCCTAGATGTTTTGCGTTGATGTTGCTTGTGTGTGTTGTGCGCAAGTTACTTGCAACCTGGCAGGCTGGCGCTACATAAGATAAACGAGTGTAATTCCATGTTGAATTAAGACGCGTTGGTATTGAATAAAGAAAAAATTGGGACGTGAATGATTTTTTTTGCAAAGAAATAAAAAGGATGAGAAAATACCTTTCCACTGATACCTCATAACTCTATATCGGTAAAGTTTTGGAGCAGTTATTCTAGTTTTCCTTACATAAATCTTTGAAAAAAGTTAAAAAACAGCATCAAAAATCTCATTATTATGATTCCGTTGATACAATTTTTTATGTAGACTTTTGATGGTTCAACTGTTTGGTCATCTGAGGGGATTATTTCCAAAAAAATCCTTTAAGAAACTATTTTTGTTCATAAAAAATTAATTTTTAGAGGTATTTTCA